TCTCACTTCCATCAAGTCAATTCTGACACATGACAACACCCATTGGGTTTCTAAGACTATAAATCTTTATGGAAGCAGACCACCTCATCTTTCTTCCATAGAGCGGCTGATGAGTTCAAACCACTGACCTTTAGTTAGTAGTCAAATGCCTTAACCACTACACCACCAGAGCTCCTCTGTACTTAGTGTGATGATTATATATAGAAGGAGCTGAATAAATCATTTTTGAATGACATATATTTAGCACTTACCAAATCCACAATACTATTTACATTCTCCTTTTTGGGCACATGTCTTTTCTCCTGAGTGAAATCTCCCTTTATCTCTCTATCTTCCTCTAGTTACTTGCAACCCTTTCCTCATATCAAAGACCTAGTCCAAATGCCAAAGATTCCAGATTAAGTTTTCTGTGATCACATTCCCTGCCCTTTCCTATCCCCTCTTCCCTTCACAAAGCAGAGTTAGACATTTAGGGTACAACTATCATTCAAATTTATGCAACAACAACTACAGGTTAGCACTCCAACCTACCAGCTGCTCCATGAAAGAAAAATGTGACAGTATGATAACCTTGAAAATGCTGTGGGGCAGTTCTACTCTGTCCTATAGGATCACTATGAATCTGAATCAACTTTACAGCAGAGAGTTTGTTCTCTTACACTCTGTCTTAGCACTGAGAATCCACCATCAATCTCTTGTTACCGAGAATGCTGGTATGAGACAATGATACAAATGTACGTTTCTAGGTTCTACCTCAGACCTACTGAATCAGAATCTCTGGTGGTGGAGCCCAGGATGTGCATTTCTACAAGCTTCTCAGGTTATTTGATGCTCATGACAGTTTAAGAATTATTGCTATTGGATACATCTGAAGGAATGTCAAGAGATGAGGCTGGAGAGTCAGGCAAATTCCAAGTGATGAAGGTTCCTAAATGCCTTGCTAATAACTGAAATAATTAAAAACTGTTTTTACCTCTGATCTGGAGAATTTAAACCACTTTCATACCAAGGACACTGGTGAGATCCTATAGAATTTCAAGCAGGGAAAGAACAACTTTGCATTTTGGAAAGATCACTTTGGCAGCAAAGTGAAGTGGGGTGTTATCAGACTTTTTACTTATGATACCATTAAGAGCTACATTTTACATCAGGCTATATTAGAGCTTAAACTCTAAAGCACTTGGGTTTGTGGAAGCTGTGGTCTACAGTGGGAGCCCTAACTCCATTTTGAGTCTTGACATAAGTTCAGATGCCAGTTGAGTTCTTTCTGGCCTTCAAATCAACATTGGGACTATACATAGACAAGTTCCAGGACAAAGCTACCACAAGCACAACACACTGCCATGGAGTTGGGTCCAACTCATAGCAACCCCTCCTCGGGTTTCTGAGGAAGTAGATTGCCCAACCTTCCTTCCAAAGAGTGGCTGGTAGGTTTGAACCACCAGCCTTCTGGTTGGCAGTCAAATGCCTTAGGCACTAAGTCACCAGAGCTCCTACAGGACAAAACTTTGTTGTTGTTGTTGTTATGTGCCGTCGAGTCGGCCCCGACTCATAGCGACCCCTCCTTGGGTTTCCGAGGCAGTATCACTACGGAAGTAGATTGCCCAACCTTCCTTCCGAGGAGTGGCTGGTGGGTTTGAACCGCCAGCCGTCTGGTTAGCAGGCAAGTGAGTTAGCCACTATGCTACCAGAGCTCCTACAGGACAAAACTAGGGAGGGGCAATTTGAGTTCTAGAAGAGTGTGGCTGAAAGTAGATTATACTCACACAAAGAAGTAGGGAATCTGCTTGAGTGTGTCATTTTCTAATTTAAATTAAGGCTGGAGTCCTGGTATTGTTTTGTAGCCACCTTGTGACTACGACTCAGGCCACAGGTACTCAAGCCTCAGGACCGATCTTGTACCCGTTTTTATCTTCAATTATGTAAGTATCCAGATCATGGTCCTTTCCCATTTCTGTTGTTTCACTTGCAACAGTGATCAATTGACCTGCCACCAATCATGATTTGTGATGATTCCCTTTGTTTTCAATCATATAAGTAGCCTCATGGCCATGACTCAGGTGACTCCATTCAGCTTTCTGTATTGTATACATGCTGATGATTTCCCTCATCCTGGAGGACTGTCTTTGTTTTGTGTTTGTCCTAAGGCTTAATAAAAATGTCTTTACTGAAGCTTTTTGAATCTGGGGTGTCTTTTCCCCTATTACAGGACCAAGGTATGACCCACATACCAAGGGTATCAGTGAGAACAAAGTTTCATGAAATAATGCTTGTTACGTGCAATACTCTTGAGTTTTCTGTTCTTTTCTATTTCTTTTATCTAAAGTGCTGATTGTAAGCAATGTTCATGATTTTATGACCCACCGATGGATTTTGACCAGCAGTTTGAAAAACTCTGGTGAGGAGGATTATGGATGAAAGGGGAGTGGAAGTGGAGGCACAAAGATAAGTCAGGAGTCACTACAGGAAAATAGGTGAGAAATTGTTACAGTCTGAGTTAAGGCCACAGCAGAAAGGCTGGAAATGAGTGGTGGCTTTGTGAGGGATTTATAAGGGAAAACTGACCAGATTTGATATGGGAAATTAGCAAGAGGGTGGGATTGGTGGACTACTTCTCAGCTGGAGTTCAAATGCCAAAGAATCTAGATGAAGCTTTCTTTGACCACATTCTCTATCTTCTCCTCTCTCCTTACCAACTTTGTACAGCTTAGGAGAAGGGTGTGATTTTGGCTAATTATGCACACCCCTCTCCAATATGTTTACTCCACTTCTAAATAGCAGAGAAGAAGTTATGATTTCACTTGGATCAGGACAAGTATTTATACAAATACAGGCTTACAGTATCAATGTTAACTTTTCTTGAATTGCATTGCCAATATATAGTTTCTTGTTCAAATGTACTCTCTGTGGAATAAGTAGTTGGGTAGTGTTTGGGTTATAATGAAAATTAATTCTCATGCTTATGCCTTCTTACTTACATAAGACAACTAGTTTTTGAGCTGTATCAATAGTCTTTAATAGAAAAACTCTCCTCACTTTTTACTCTTTTACAAGGTTCTGAGATGGGAAAACATTTGAGTAATTATTACATAGTAAGAGAAACTTGGGAGCTCTGGTGGCATAGTTAGTGCTTAAGGCATTTGACTGATAACCAGAAGGCTGGTGGTTCAAACCCACCAGTCACTCCTCAGAAGGAAGTTTGGGCAATCTACTTCCATGGTGATACTGCCTCAAAAACCCAAGGAGGTGTCATTATGAGTCAGATCTGACTTGATGACAGTGAGTTGGTTTTGGTTGAAGAGAAACTTAGGAGAATAAAAAAACAACTCAGGTTTTTTTTTTTTTTTTTTCCCAATTGAGAGCTACTTATTATTTTATTTAAATAGAAAAAAAAATCTATTTAAAAAGGTGATATGTGAGCCTCAGTGTGTGCTCAAAAAAAATTATGTTGAACCCTAACCCCGATACCTGTAAATGTGATCCTGTTTGGAAATAGGGTTTTTCTTTTGTTGTATTAATGAGGGCAAACCAGTGTAGAGTTGGTCCTAAACCTAATTGCCTCTGAGTTATACAAAGAAAAACAGAATAGACACAGAGGCACACAGAGGGGGAAGACAGATGCCAAGAATTCCAACAATTGTTTGAAACTACTAGAACCTAAAATAGGAAAAGAAAGACTTCCCCCATTCCATTCAAACTATGCTTCGAATTCAGACCTCTAATTTCCAGAACTATGAGAAAATAAATTTCTTTTCTTTAAAACTATCTGCTTGTGGTATTTTTGTTACAGCAGCATTGGGTAACAGAGACAGTATGTTAGTCAACAAAAGAGTAACATTACTTCAAAATAGCCCAAGCCAAGCCCACTGCCACTGAGCCGGATCCAACTCATAGCGACCCCTCCTTGGGTTTCCAAAGCTATGAGTTAGGTCTGACTCGACGGACCATAATAGCAACAACAACAATCATTATGGAAGTAGATTGTCTGATCTTCCTTCTAAGGAGTGGCTGGTGGGTTTGAGCCACCAGCCTCCCAGTTAGCAGTCAAATGTCTTAGGCACTACACCACCAGAGCTCCTAGGGACCCTATTATTTCTCATAATATTGAAAGAAATTCATAAAGCATTTTTATTCTCTATAAATAATTAAGGCAAACCTGTTTGTTGCGTCCTTTAGCATCCTACCCAGATCAAGGGTGGCTCCTGGTCGTGGGGTCCATGTAACCACATCAGAAATTTTGTTGATAAGTTTGTTGAGTTCATTTGGGTCATTTTTGATGTTTGTTTCCTTAATATACCTGAGAAATAAAAACATTCCATGTAAGAAAATATGCTCAGATGTAGTCTGGTTTGTACAATGACAGAATTTTTTTGTTTTCTCTCCCATCTCCCATCTCTCAGTCCATCCTCTCACCACCACAGGGCAATGAAGACCATACTGTGCTAATGTCCTCTATTAGGGAAGAACTATTAATTGAAAAGAGTTGTATTTCTCCTTCTTTTTAAAGTATAATCACATGGTGATTTGCATTGAAGTTGGATATACTGAGGCTAACTATTGTAAATAGGTGGAAATTGCATACCAATTTAATAGTAACATATTCAATATTATTTGCAGTCTTTATACTAAGTACTTAACATGAGTAGCCCAATTTTATCCGTGTAATGTCCTCCCAAGATAATTACCATTTGTTTTGGTTCTCTAGGGCTGCTCCAACAGAAAATACCACAAATGGATGACTTCAACAAATAGGAGTTTATTCTTTTACAATTTAGGAGGCTAGAAGTTCGAGTTCAAAGTGCCAGCTCTAGAGGCTGGGTGAAGAACTCTCGACCTTGGACTTCAGTTTGGCCTCTTGCTCCTAGCCCACTGAAGCTGGAGGAGTCTCTTAACTCAAGAAGCTGCAGGCTGCTGAGGCTGACAAACTCAAAGTCGACAAGTAAAATGGCACAGTTCCAAGATTATCAAGCAGCACATCCGGCCACTAGTTCAAGTCCAGAAACAGTTTCAAGATTGGCAGACAACATGGCAGGCCACCGAGATGAAGACTCAGCCAAATGCAAGATCTAGATGTGCCAAAAATCTCAGAGACCTTTCTCTGAAGCTTCTTCTTCTGTACTGGAAGCAGACCACATTCCTAAGGCAGCTACTCAGCTGCTCACAGTAGATTCCACCATGGTGTTGATTATCATTTTCTTCAGGGGTAATAACTATATCTAGCTGTCCAGACACTCAAAACCAGGCCCAGCCTAGTTGACACATAACCTTAACTACCACACCAATATCATGCTCATTTTATAGATAAAGGAGTCCTTGGATGGGACACACAGGAAACACTCTTGGCTGATGACCGATAGGTTAAGTTAAGTTAAGTCAAGTCCACCTAAAAGCACTTAAGAAAAAAGACCTGGCAATCTACTTCTGAAAAATCAGCCATTGAAAACCATATGAAGCACAATTCTACTTAGACACACATGGTCAATATGAGTCAGAATTGACCCAATTACATCTGGTTATACAAAAGGAAACAGAGGCTAACGGAGGCCAAATGACTTGCCCAAGGTCACACCACTAGTGCAGTCCACCTCCAGCTTCCCATCCAGCTGTCTTTCACACAACTAGAGAAAGATTCAGGTTTCATGGGAAGCCACACTGTAATGCCTCTCCCCAGGCTTGTGGGTGAAGTCTGAAAAATCTCTGCATTTAAAACCACTAAAAATTCACCCATTACAAAAAAAAAAAAAAAAAATTCACATTCTCAGTTGTTACCCATCCTGTGATCTGGTATAAGAATGGCATGGTGGAGCCTCTGACCTCCTCATCTAACTCCACAAGGGGGAGAGAGAATCATTATCAGCACCAACAGCCCAAGATTGATTCCTATGAGCTGGAGGTCAGACATGCCTCCATCCTCCAACATTTTTATAATTCTGACACTAAATATCCCTCTCACAGGCATTCTCTACTTCTCTGCTAGTTTTGATAATTCACTGCAGTGGCCACATGGAACTCACAGACCATATACCATATTCACAATTAAGGGGTTTATTATGGAGGTAAAATTATGGGGTTTATTTTTCAATAATGGTGGGGGAAGGTTCAGGAATACTCAGCATCCAATTCTTTGATCAGGATAGCCTCTCAGCCTCCAAGCAGGTCTCTTTGATCCCTTGGACTGGCCTTTGCCCTGCCTGGGCAAGCAATAAAGTCTTTTAGTTCTGCCAGTAAGTGGCACAGACACCCCAGTTTGCCAATAACCCTCAAAGCAAAGGCATTCAGCCCTAGCTCTATGGACAGGTAAGCCCACTGTGCCATCTCCTACAGTTTTCTGGTTGTGCTGCCACTGTTTCTCTGTCTCTGCTTCTCACCATCTTCAGTGGTACAGCTCTCTGTTTCCTGGATCAGGAGGTTCTCAGTGAACCCAAAGGATATGCTCCTCCCCTGGCTCTTCTTTCCTGATGGTAGTGAGATCCCTCCACCCCCCACATACACCTCACACACACACACCTCATTTCCACCTATGGGAGGGCTCATTTTAAATCTAGCAAGATGGAAAAACTGACCAATCCTCTCATTAAGGTTCCATACACCTTATTTGCATGGTTCACCCAGTCATTTGGTGGGAGTTATAAAGTCTATGGATGGAAGAACCATATAAAGTAATTTAGTGCACCATATCTGGCTTCTGGCTGTGTTACTGAAAAAAAATATCTCCCCAAATTAATTCCAAACCACAGTGTATCTCAAAAAACTATAATGCATCAATTTTGATGTAATATAGAAAGGTGATTATGGTGATGTAGACACAGAAAAAGCAAAATCTGGAGGAAAAGAGTTTGCCATTGAGTTACATCTGACATAGGTTATGTAGGCAGACATTTCTGTTAAAGAGGGAATTATACTTTCTTGAGCCATAACTTGGTTACCTAGACCTGATACATTTTTTTAGTATGATAAACAAATTTTAAAAATATGTCAACACTTGCATTTCTTTCTTTCTTTTTTGGTATTTTCATTCTTTTTTTATTTTATTTTTCAAAACTTGCATTTCTATAACCCTAAAGTAACTTCCATTGTTTCTGATCAAATTGATTTTTCAGACATGAATGAAGATTGTATCCCTGCACTTGAAGATGTCATCAGTTTGCCCCTTCCTATATGCCTTAAAGTCCTCCCAATGGCATAAATTCATTAGGGAGATTAGAAGGATTCTCAGTCCCTGAGTGGTGCTACAAACGAATAAGTGCTCTATTAGCCGAAAGGTTGGTAGTTTGAACCCACCCAGAGGCACCTTGGAAGTCAGGCCTGGCAGCCTGGCAATCTACTTTTGAAAAATCACAGCCTTGAAAACCCTATGGAGCAGTTCTACTCTACACACATGGGGTCATCATGAGTAGGGATCAACTCAACAGCAATTAGTCAATTTCCTTCCAAGTCCTTAGTTTGAAGCAATGCTACCACCTTTTTCTCATCTTCTTACTATCATTAGTATGAAAATGGTTTGCTAACTGGTCTTCATGACTCTAGCGTCCCTCTTTAAATGACATTACTATCAGATTACTTCTAAAATGTAACATGGAGGAATTTGAGCTATGTGGTGTTCACAAAGTTCCATAACTTCTTGGTGCTTCTTTGTCTCTCTCTCTGTAAAATAATTATAAAATCAATACCTACATGCCATCCACTGAGGGGGGGGGGGAACTATGCTCCAAATAGTAAAAAAAAAAAAAAAAAAAAAGTCCATGTAAAGGACAACATTTGCTAACAATTTACACATAGAAGTGTGGCTTTTAATTATTTTAAATGGCAGCATCACATTAAGTGATCATGTGTCCTGTACATAAGTACCCATCAATACAATTCTTCTCCAAGCCATTTAATTTCAAACTAATATTTCTTGAATCTGAATTCTCTTCCCAATCTCCCCTGCCACTTATCATCCCTTCCTAGATGATTATAATGGTTTTCACACTGATTTCCTGGATCAACATCTCCTTTCTCCTGCCCACCACATACATATACAATCTAATTTCCCCCAACATACATGTGATCTGTCCTGTTCCTCATTAGACTCCTCATGCTTTTCAGATAAAACTATGGCATATGGCATAGAACAGGGCTCATTGTCAGATTCCTAGCCTATTTCCTGGATTTCTCATACCACAAAACTAAATCAAACCAGTTATTGTTAAATTGATTCCAAAGCATGGTGACCCAATGGTTGTGTGCTCAACTGCTAACTGAAAGGCTGGCAGTTTGAACCCACCTAGAGACACCTCACAAAAAAGGCTTGGTGATTCTCTGAAAGATCCTACCCTTGAAAATTCTATGGAGCACAGTTCTACTCTGACACACATCAGGTAGCACTTTTCATGCAGGTCTAAAATAGTTTCACTAGTCTGAATGGCCATCTCGCATCTCAACATCTTTTCATCTCTGCTGGTCAATGCCTAATCAGCTGAGATTTCTTCAAATCTTAGCTTTCATAGGCTAATCAAGGAAGCATTTTCTGACCTGTATCTGTTCTCCCATTGCCTCCAGAACATATATGTATTATAACACTTATCATTTTGTATTATAATTGCTTGTTGCTCTCTTTTGATTAGCCATTAACTCTGAAGACAGGCAATCATTTCATCTCCAGTTGTCCAGTGCTATGACAGTGCTGCTCAGGAAATGATCAATGAATATCATTACTCAAAAGAAATTATTTCCTAATCTTAGGCCAACCTTTCTGGCAAACTTCAGAAGATATGAATTGCTAAATGATGCCAACAAGAAGAGCAAAAAGAAACAAACAGCAGAAACTGGTGACATTGAGCAATTACATAAGTGTATGTATAACATCAGAGAACATAGAAGAACTTCATAGTGCTTAGAATCATGTTTTAATAATTAGGCAAATGAAGCCCAGAGAAGTCAGATAATTGGTCCTAATACGTGATGTCAGAGCAGAACTCAAATTCCATGTACACTTTTCCTCCTGCTGTACTGTGCCTCCTCTAGCAGATGAGAAGCCATTCTAGTCCTTACAGGATTATTACCACGAAAACGTATCTCAAGGACTATTTTCTTTCAGATTCAACAAATTTACAGCTAAGTGTACTCCCAGAATAGAAAGATACATGCCTTTGCTTGTAGCATAGGTGGTCCCTGCCCTTTTTTCACAAGATACTCCTAGTAATTGCATCATAAAATGAATCTTCATGAAGCAGGTGGTGCTTGCTCATAAAAATGATATTATAGTTGAGAGTTGTGTCACTGCACATACTTAAGATCAAAACATTTTATATACAG